AAGCTTAAAAATGCTCTGTCCCACCTTGTGATGTCATGTAGTGATAATTTTCTGCTGATTTGACCTTCAGTTCAGTAAAGATTGTTATTTCATTTCCAATTGTATGGATTTTAAAAACACAGTGGAGCACTTTTTGTATTCACACATGACACCACAAGGAGAGAAGAACTCAGAGAAGAACTCAGGTTTGTGAATGAAACAAAGCACAAGTCAGGTTTGTGCAAATGACTTTAAATATTCTGGCTTATTCATATCACAAAATAAAATAATAATAAGAAGTTAAAAAAAAAAAGTAAGAAGAGTAATAAAAAGAGCAGAGGTGAGCGCTCTGACACTTCAGCTCCAAGTCCAAGTCTGTAAACGTGATGTTGACGGAACAAATCACCAAGAGTTTCATTTATTGAGTCAAAATGCAGAGCTGACGAAATCCACAGAAATCTGACTCCCATTACTGCAATTTAACATGACAAAACTACGAGAGTCTAACCCACAACCTCTTCAGTGAGGAGCAGACGGGCTAACCACTGTGCCACAGCCCCACAATCATACTTCCCCTTAATTAAAATTGACCTAAAATGTTTAATTAATTTCTGTATTGATTTTGGTTCATTCTGCAGTGACAGAGGGAGGGAGATGAGAAGGAGAGGAAGAGGAAGAGGAGAGAAAGGAGGGAGGGAGATGTGGAGGGAAAGAAAAAGAAGGGATAGAGTGAGAGTGACAGATAGATATGGAGAGAGACGGAGAGAGAGAAGAGAGACAAGGAGAGGCAGAGAGAGAAAAGGAGAGAGAGACAGAGATAATATAAAAATAGAGAGGTGGGAGAGAGAGATAAGAGAGAGGAGGGAGAGGAGAGAGACAGAGAGACCGAAAGAGAAAGACACAGACAGAGGAGGGAGCCAGAGAGAGGAGAGAGAAAGAGAGAGGCAAAGAGACAGACAGCGGCAGAGAGAGGAGAGAGACAGAAAGAGACCAAGAGACAGAGAGAAAGAGAGAGAAAGAGAAAGGAGACAGACAGAGACAAAGAGAGAGACTGAGAGAGGAGAGAGACAGACAGAGGCAGAGAGACCGAAAGACACGGACAGAGGAGGGAGCCAGAGAGAGACAGAGAGAGGAGAGAGAGACAGAAAGAGACCAAGAGACAGGGAGAGAAAGAGAAAGGAGAGAGACAGAGACAAAGAGAGAGACAGAGAGAGACAGACAGAGGAGAGAGAGAGCTAGAGAGAGGCAGAGAGAGAAGAGAAAGACAGAGAGAAGAGAGAGACAGAGGAGGAGGGAGACAGAGACAGACAGACAGAGAAAGGAAGACAGAGAGAGAGAGAGAGAGACAGAGAGAGGGCGACAGAGAGACAGAGAAAGACAGAGACACAGAGAGAGAGAGAGAGTCTGTGTGTGTCAGATGTCCTTCCATCGTCTCCAGGGCGTCGTATTGTGTGTAAAAGCTGCGAATCCTGTAATTCTGACCTCTAAAAACATGTTCTGAAATATCTACTTTCAGTCTACTCCTCCTCCTACTGCTACTACTACTACTGCTACTACTACTTCTACATGTGTACTTCCAGTAGTAGTAGTAGTAGTAGTCGTTTGTGAGTGCAGTTGGAATCCCCTGACAGACGCTGTTCCGTTGCTCGTAAAAAGAATATGTTTTATATCGATTTCACACGTCTCCTCTTCTGTTGTCATGAGATAAGACCATTCCCCCGCTCTCTCTCTCTCTCTCTCTCTCTCTCCTCCTCCCTTCATCACGCTTCTTTCTTTCTCTCCTCTCTCTCCCAGTCTCCCCCATTTCCCTTCTTCCATTTTCTCTCTCCTCTCTTTTCCCCTCGCTCTCTCTTCTCTCATCTTTTTGTCCCTCGCTCTCCTCAACCTCTGTCCATTTTCTTGTCTCTCTCTCTCCTCTCTCTCTTCCTCACTCCCACCTCTCCATCCTTTCTATCCCAACCTGCTTTCTATTCCTCTTTCTTCCCTCTCTCCCCATATCCTTTTCCCAACTCCCTCTAACACTTTTCTCTTCATTCACTCCATCTCCTCTGTCCTCCTCTCTCTCTTTATTTCTCTCCCGTCATCTTTCGTCTGCCCTTCCCTCTTTTCTCTTTTCCATATCCTCCCTCTCTCCTCTTTCTCTCTTTCTTTCTTTATTCCCTCTCCTTTCATTTCCACCATCTCCTCTCTTTCTTTGCCCCTCCCCCTCTCCATCCTGTGTCTCTTTTATCCTCTCTTTCTCCTCTCCTCTTATCCTCTGTCCCTCTCCTCTCTCTCCTTCTCACTCCCACCTCTCCATCCTTTCTATCCCCACCTCCTTTTTATTCCTCTTTCTTCCCTCTCTCCCACATACCCTTTTCCCAACTCCCTCTAACACTGCGCTCTCTCCCCCTCTTCTACTCTCCTTTATCCCTCTTTCCTCTCTCTCCTCTTTACCTCTTCTCTTCATTCACCCCATCTCCTCTGTCCTCCTCTCCTCTCTCCAACCTCTCTCTCTTTATTTCTCTTCCGTCATCTTTCT